AACCATTTTGCACAGCGGGCGGCCATTTTGAGAGCCGCCGATCAGCTGTTTTTAGATCATCATAATGCGAAGAATCGGTTCCAGAAGCAGAGAACCGATTGTCATAAAGCAATTTTTCCCCATTGAAACATCATTTTGCAATCGCAAAAACCTCATTGTCAAGCGGATTCATCATGGAGCGGGCTAATCGTTAAGGGGGGCACCACTGTACTGTATTTACTTCTCTAGATTTTGACTTTTCAGGGTCTTTGGATGTTCTTTTGCCTTGATTTTCAGAGTTTCACTTTAGAGAATGGGTGAATTACTCCTTTGAGGGAATTCTATACCTCCTCTAATATCTTGGTTAATTTATTCTTTACAGACTGTGAGGTTAAAAAAATGATGGACCCAGGAGACAGACGTGTGCCGTCCATAAGAAAAGGAAAATGTGAAGAAACAGACCTGATTAGACTTGACAGAACGGCTGGGAAAGATGACTGTGGAGAGCACCGAAGCAAAAGACCCAGGAGAAACTGTACTTAAGGAGCCGTGTGCTCAGTAGAACAGGAAGGGGTGTGTCCTTAACAGGAAGAGCCGTGTGGTTGGCCTAACAGAAAGGGGAATGTCCTGATTACTTCTTAGGGCTACAAGTAGCAGCCGTGAGTTCTGGGATGGCCCTTTAATTCCTGATCCTGGGCAGACCCAGGGAGCTTGCAAACAGGAGCTTGCCCCAACTATGATGGAAGTGTAAGATAGCCTGTGCTGAAAGTTTTGCTGACTCAATCGCTGTCTCCCGGTGAGTTCACCAAGTGTGTCTGTAATGAAAAAAGACACCAAAATGCTTAAACTCTCTGACCTTGCAATAACTACTGTGGTATCTCTCAGTGTTGTAGGGAAGCTGCTTACCCATGTTGGGCTGAAGAGACTCCAGTTGCTTGCAGACAAAGTCTATCCAGAATCGCAGTGTGGATTTCGAGCTAATAGATCCACCACTGACATGGTATTTTCCCTTGAACAGTAGCAGAAGAAACAGAGCGAGCAATGACAGACACTCTTTGTGGCCTTCATAGATCTTACAAAGGCCTTTGATTTGACTGGATGTCCATTGCAACTCCTTAACGATATCAGGTCCTTTCATGAGGAAAAGAAGGGCATTGTAGTTTTTGATGGCTCAACATCAGATCCCTTTGACATCCGAAGTGGAGTGAAACAGGGCTGTGTCCTCCCACCGAACCTGTTTGGAATCTTTTTTGCTGTCATGTTGAAGCATGCCTTTGGAACTGCAACAGAATGTGACTATCTCCAGACTAGATCAGACGGAAAGCTCTTTAGTATGTCTAGATTGGGAGTGAAGACCAAAGTCAAGTTGAAATGCATGTGGGATTTCCTCTTTGCCGATGATGCAGCTGTTATTGCCCATTCTGCTGAAGACCTCGAACAACTCATAAATTGTTTTAGAAAGGCTTGGGTCAGGGTGTGGTCTCACCTCCCTCTATTACCATCTCCACACAAGAATTGGAGGTTGTTCATGACTTTGTGTACCTCAGCTCAACGATCTCTGACAGTCTCTCCCTAGATGTCGAGCTGGATAAACACACTGACAAAGCAGCTACAATGTTCTCTAGATTGGCTCAGGCATGTCGTGAGAATGGCTGATGGTCAGATTCTAAAAGGTCTCCTGTATGGAGAATGAGTGCAGGGAAATCGTCCCAGACAGAGACAACAGTTGTGATACAAGGATATCTGGAAGTGGGATCTGAAGGCCTTAGGAATGGACTTCGACAGATCAGAAACTTTGACATCTGAGCTTTCAGCTTGGAGGCAGGCGGTGCATCACGGTCTCTCCCATTTTGAAGAGAGCCGTGTCCAGGAGGCCAAGGCAAAGAGGCTGTCCCCAAACCAGCAAAATCTGGGAGCTGGACAGGACAGACTGTATTTTTCTTCAGTGTCAAAGGGATTGTGACTCTCAAATTGGCCTCCTCAGCCACACTAGATGCTGTTCCAAGTCCTCTATTCAGAGCATGTTAACACAGTCTCTTGAGATTAAAGGATGCCTACACACTAACCTGCTGGATAGAGTTCCCACTGAAACACCAAGAAAAGAGTTTCCATGCTTTTCCAAAGATTATAATTTTAGATTTACTTGCAGCTTGTTGCATGTCAAGCTGCAACTAGTCATGGCAACCACCAACTAGCCACTTTAGGCCGATGCCTGTGCCGGACAGGAGAACCATGTCATCCACGTATGGTAGGATTGGATTCTGTATACCGTATTTTTTGCGGTATTAAATTATGCGGTATTAAATTGTGCTTGGGTGAAAAGGTGCTCCGTTTGAGTTGAAACCTGCTTGTGCAGAAACGTGCATCCTTGTCTTTAAAATCTGCTAGTTTCACTTTAAAAGCTGTTTGTTTTGGGTTAAATTGTGCTTTGGTGAAAAGCTGCTCCATTTGAGTTGAAACCTGCTTGTGTAGAAACGTGCAT